GTAACGTAAACAATATGTAAATATTTTATATAAACGTAATCTTAAACTATACGGCACAATCCCGTCAGCATTAGCTAAATTTTCAAATTAACAAAGTCTAATCTAGTTTGTTGTATTTAAGTATGTCGATTGTAGCTGTGAATCTTGTTAAAGATCTTAGTAATAACCGTTCTCTTTCTTTCTTTCGGGTGAAACAATTATAACCCGGAAAATCATATTAAACTGATGTCTAATGTATAGAAATTTTACCGCGTATGCGTACGTATAAGGTAGCGTTTACGGTACTTGTTTACGGTATTGCGTTAAAATTTGAAAGACGTGACATAACACGCTGCGCGAAATGCGCAATTCGTACTTTCACCGAGACCGGTAGGAGCGCGATACCGATAATCACCATCTCTTCCCTCGCAATATTTTCGAGTCGGGGCCTTGACTCGTTTTCTTTCATCACATAGATGGTTCGGTTGCAATCCGGATTGATGTTGTCCGGTTTATTACACTTTCACTGGCGAATTTCATTTAAGAAATATCCAAAGCGCGCGGTACGAGAAGAAACACACGTTGTTAAGCGTGAACATTCTCAGCTGCACCTCGTACTATCGTATAGCAACAATGATGCAACCCGTAACGCGCAATAGCAAAGTCATAGTCACGCACTTTCTCTTTTTGGTGCCTCAGCTCGAGAGAGACCAAGGTGGAACGTGAAGTTTTCCGGGTATTAAATGAAATAGGCTAGATCACACCAGGATCGCGTACGTGTCCGAACGTAATCGTGCCGCACAATTAGTTGGTCGACAAGACAATTCTTTTTTTGTATAACTGACATATTTCAACGGTACTTCGTGCACCTTTTAGCCAACTCTTTTAGAAAGTATAAAGAATTTCTTTTTGAAAGCGGCCTTGGAGCTTACCGGAGAATTGAATATTTCATTCAGCCGATGCTTGGGATCTTTACCCTTCTTCGGTCTGACGATTATGTAGATATGCTCTATATCGGGCAGGCACCGCAGAAGCTTCTCGATTAATACTTTTCCTAAAAATCCTGTGCCACCTGTTACTAGTATCTTGCGGCCAGCGAAAGTCTCGGCTATTCTGTCCGACGCGACGTCCTCTGTTTTACTTTGCTCCATCGTGACTGAGCGAGTACGAGCCTTCGAAAGTTTTTCTAAAATACAGAAAAGCGTTCGGCAAATAATTGTACGTAATTAACGATATGATTAGTAACAATACATTTCCTTGGAAATGCGCATATTGGACAAAAAATATGATTACATTCACATTATACGGAACGGAAAGCTATCTAGAGCGTATTGCGCGATGCATAATTATACATATAGCGATTGTGACCGACAGACGCGCTCGTTTCGCCAGGCTAATTAAGTATTGTGCGACTGCACACAATCAAGTCGGGAGAAATATCATAGTTATCAAAATTGGATCATTGTGCATTTTCGCAACTCGGTGTACGTATATTGAATATTTATAGCCCCGATAATTGCAAACAATAGTCACCTCCATAGCAAACAATAGAAATAAATCTTTCAAGATTAATAATTACCGGATGACAATAGATACATCATATGTATATTGTGCGCAAAACTCACTTTGTGAAAAGGCAAAACTAGTTGCTTAATTCGATCGAATCGAATGTTTCCTTATTATCAAGAAAGATCAAATTTATCGACGAACTGAAAATTATAGAAATAAAAAACTAAGAAAAACTCCAAAAGGTTCTCGAATAAAAGTAATGTAAAAAGAAATAACAATGATAAAACATGAAATCGAGAACTAATAAGAATATAGAATATTCTTAATAATAAGAATAAGTAGGCATAGCAGTTGGAGCGCTAATTAACTTGTGCAAAAATGGCATTTAATCGAAGTTGTTGAACATTTTGACTTCGCAACATTTGAATCATTCAACAACAATATGAACGGTCATAAGAAAAATAGACAACTATATATTTTTTTATGATTTTGATAGAAGAAAATATTTGATATGATATATTTTTCCAAAAAGTATTTTTCCAAAAATATCTAATCTTTTTACAATTGTAAAATATAGTTATTTATGTGATCTAAAATTACCGTACTTTGTTCTATAAATTTTTAATAAAAAAAATATTTTTTTTATTAAAAATTTATAGAACAAAGTACGGTAATTTTAGATCACATAAATAACTATATTTTACAATTGTAAAAAGATTAGATATTTTTGGAAAAATACTTTTTGGAAAAATATATCATATCAAATATTTTCTTCTATCAAAATCATAAAAAAATATATAGTTGTCTATTTTTCTTATGACCGTTCATATTGTTGTTGAATGATTCAAATGTTGCGAAGTCAAAATGTTCAACAACTTCGATTAAATGCCATTTTTGCACAAGTTAATTAGCGCTCCAACTGCTATGCCTACTTATTCTTATTATTAAGAATATTCTATATTCTTATTAGTTCTCGATTTCATGTTTTATCATTGTTATTTCTTTTTACATTACTTTTATTCGAGAACCTTTTGGAGTTTTTCTTAGTTTTTTATTTCTATAATTTTCAGTTCGTCGATAAATTTGATCTTTCTTGATAATAAGGAAACATTCGATTCGATCGAATTAAGCAACTAGTTTTGCCTTTTCACAAAGTGAGTTTTGCGCACAATATACATATGATGTATCTATTGTCATCCGGTAATTATTAATCTTGAAAGATTTATTTCTATTGTTTGCTATGGAGGTGACTATTGTTTGCAATTATCGGGGCTATAAATATTCAATATACGTACACCGAGTTGCGAAAATGCACAATGATCCAATTTTGATAACTATGATATTTCTCCCGACTTGATTGTGTGCAGTCGCACAATACTTAATTAGCCTGGCGAAACGAGCGCGTCTGTCGGTCACAATCGCTATATGTATAATTATGCATCGCGCAATACGCTCTAGATAGCTTTCCGTTCCGTATAATGTGAATGTAATCATATTTTTTGTCCAATATGCGCATTTCCAAGGAAATGTATTGTTACTAATCATATCGTTAATTACGTACAATTATTTGCCGAACGCTTTTCTGTATTTTAGAAAAACTTTCGAAGGCTCGTACTCGCTCAGTCACGATGGAGCAAAGTAAAACAGAGGACGTCGCGTCGGACAGAATAGCCGAGACTTTCGCTGGCCGCAAGATACTAGTAACAGGTGGCACAGGATTTTTAGGAAAAGTATTAATCGAGAAGCTTCTGCGGTGCCTGCCCGATATAGAGCATATCTACATAATCGTCAGACCGAAGAAGGGTAAAGATCCCAAGCATCGGCTGAATGAAATATTCAATTCTCCGGTAAGCTCCAAGGCCGCTTTCAAAAAGAAATTCTTTATACTTTCTAAAAGAGTTGGCTAAAAGGTGCACGAAGTACCGTTGAAATATGTCAGTTATACAAAAAAAGAATTGTCTTGTCGACCAACTAATTGTGCGGCACGATTACGTTCGGACACGTACGCGATCCTGGTGTGATCTAGCCTATTTCATTTAATACCCGGAAAACTTCACGTTCCACCTTGGTCTCTCTCGAGCTGAGGCACCAAAAAGAGAAAGTGCGTGACTATGACTTTGCTATTGCGCGTTACGGGTTGCATCATTGTTGCTATACGATAGTACGAGGTGCAGCTGAGAATGTTCACGCTTAACAACGTGTGTTTCTTCTCGTACCGCGCGCTTTGGATATTTCTTAAATGAAATTCGCCAGTGAAAGTGTAATAAACCGGACAACATCAATCCGGATTGCAACCGAACCATCTATGTGATGAAAGAAAACGAGTCAAGGCCCCGACTCGAAAATATTGCGAGGGAAGAGATGGTGATTATCGGTATCGCGCTCCTACCGGTCTCGGTGAAAGTACGAATTGCGCATTTCGCGCAGCGTGTTATGTCACGTCTTTCAAATTTTAACGCAATACCGTAAACAAGTACCGTAAACGCTACCTTATACGTACGCATACGCGGTAAAATTTCTATACATTAGACATCAGTTTAATATGATTTTCCGGGTTATAATTGTTTCACCCGAAAGAAAGAAAGAGAACGGTTATTACTAAGATCTTTAACAAGATTCACAGCTACAATCGACATACTTAAATACAACAAACTAGATTAGACTTTGTTAATTTGAAAATTTAGCTAATGCTGACGGGATTGTGCCGTATAGTTTAAGATTACGTTTATATAAAATATTTACATATTGTTTACGTTAC